TGTTGTTCGTTCTTGATTTCCTTAGATTTTATCATGTCCTAACAAAAATCAGAAAGCACAATGACGACAAGATGAAAGTTTTATAAAGCAAATTAATCGACCAACGGGCCGAGTAAAAGCTAGCAATGATTGTGAGATGCTCATTTCCCGAAAACCGACGGGATATGAGATTTTTTATTCGATTTTCTGGAATTTGGTTTCTATAAAACTTACTCTACCTCATCATATTACCAGAAACAATATTGTTTCACAAGGTAACATGAACTTGATTTTGGTTCATAAGGCCGATTTTTTATTTATTGCATCATTCATGTCTTTTTCCTGCTAAAATTCACTATTTTTATCACGAGTTTCCAAAAAAAAAACTATACAACAATAAGCTCTACACCACATTACATTATCAAATTTCATACCTCACCTTCCTCCGGCCAACTGGCCGCGACCCACGCTAGTAATTTGATATAATCAGAGTAGCCAGGGCACGGGCGGGCTGGAGCAAAGCACGGCCGTGCCCTCGACCGTGTTTTTCCCAGTGATGCTCTTTTATGCAGATTTCAGCCAAAAGAGAAGGGGATTCGAGTTTTAGAGAGACAGAGCGATTCCTAGAGAGAGAAAGCGACGAACAAGAGTTCCCAAGTGCCCTACCTTGATCTTCATCACCATTGGAGTCTGGCTTGAGCTTGGAGGAGTGCCGATCGACGCGTAGGAGCAGAAATCCATCCTTCACAGTATGGTTTCCGCATCTGAATCTGCTTTTGCTTCTTTCTCCATGGAGTAGTTCTCCCATTCATCTGGGTATGGGAAACCCTAGATTTGTATGTTAGGTTTGATTGTATGAACCCAAGTGCAGATTCTATGATTTGATTATATTCAATTGAGGTTTGAATGATTGAATGGCATGAATCCTGATCAAATTCCTGTTGTTTCCGCTTTAACCTAGAAAGAGAATATCTGCCTAAGTTGATAGAGCACCCTTAATTGAAGGTAGTGAATTGGCGACTTTAGTCGAGGAGCCAATTCACTATTCTGTACCGAATTTACTTCGGTAGTGAAGGTTTTGTTCGTTAGGGCCTCAATCTGTTTACTCCGGTGGAGGTTAGTCGACCGCTAGAGATTCAGACTGAGAGGGTCTGGAGAACTTTAGTCGAGACTTCGGACTGTTTAAGAATCTTCCGCAGTATAACTATCATAGAAATTGAAGTTGGTAAATTGCAATCCGGCTTAACTGCAGTCTAGGGGGAACCATATCCGGGTGACCTCTCTCGACTTGAAACAACCGTTTAACTTGCTTTGTGTCTTTGTTTGTTTGAACCTGCACTTAAGTTTTACCGCTAGATAATAAGAATTCACTGAGTAGTCATCATATCTAGGACCCGGGTTGACATTAAAACCCAAACCCGCTATACTACGCTTTAGGAAGTGGTTTCACTTGGCCATTTTCTAGAGTGACAGTAGGAGTGAGTCAAGTTTTTGGCGCCGTTGCCGGGGACGGCTAGGTTGTTGAAGAAACGTGAATTCTGTTAATTTAGCTTTTCTTTTCGCATTGTTTGCTTTGTCCCTCTTGTGCCTTCACGGGTTTGCTTGCTTGAGTGTGTGCAGGTAGTGCATGACCCGTAACCAGTCGGGAGATATACTGCCCGAATCCAGAGATTGAACGCACCTGTCGAGCTAGACTGGCTACGGAGGAGCGCCTAGACGGCCATTTGAGCATCGAGTCCGAGGACGAGTACGAGATGGAAGGAGATTACAATCCACACCAGGGGAACCCTCACCATGCTCCCCCGGTGAATCAGGTCCTGGGGAACAACCCCATACCCCAGGCAGATGGGGTTCATCATCATCCACCGCCGCCGGGTCCCACCTTGGAGTACTACTACACTCCACGGATTGCTGACATACGCCCGGTCATCCTCTACCCACCTATTCCAGCGAACAACTTCGAAATCAAGCCATGCTGGATTCAACTCATTACATCCTCTATCCAGTTCCATGGCTTGAAGGATGAGGAGGCAAGGGTGCATCTTTCCCACTTTCTGCAGCTGACGAACGGGTTCAAGCTGAACGGTGTCCCTGATGACGCAATCCGCCTTCACCTCTTCCCCCATTCTCTGGCGGGGAATGCCAAGAGGTGGTTAGAGACCCAGCCCCCATTGTCCATCACTTCTTGGGATGATCTGGCTGACAAGTTCGTGCACAGGTACTACCCATCATCGAAGACCACAGAGATCCAGCGGGAGATCACTCACTTCCGCCAAGAGCTAGACGAGTCACTTCGCGATGCATGGGAGCGGTACATAGGATATTTCTGGCAGTGTCCCCATCATGGCTTCAGTGATGCATTCACAGTGGGGAACTTCTACAGTGCTCTCTCTCCGGACAGCCAGAGGGTGATTGAGTCTCTATGCCCAGGAGGGGATATTCTTACTAAGACTCTATCCGAACTGAACCAGATGATCAGTACCTTGGCTGAGATCATTCCTGGGGGCAGAGCAGCAGAGGCAGACATTCCCGAGACCGTGGTGTGCATGCCATGGAGACCAGATCCGGGCTCGAGCAGCAGGTAGCTGAGTTAGTGCAGACATTGAAGCAGCCCAAGAGTCTTATTCCGGGCAGAGATTTGGCTACACCTCCAGTAGCTCAATGTCAGTGGTGTGAGAGCTCAAATCACCTAGTGGAAGACTGCCAGGCTATGAGGGAGTCTTCTACTCCCCAAGAGTAGTTGGACTTCATCGCCAATGCTCGGCGCCTCGACCCGTATAGCAATACATATAATGAGGGGTGGCGCCAGCATCCCACTTTCTCTTGGAGCAGCAACACCACTAAACCACCTGGTTTCCCAGCACCAGCTGGTGGTTTTCACTAGAGGCAGCCTTTCCAGACTAGACAGGGGCCAGCCCCACAGCAGCAGCCCTACCAGCCTAGGCAGGGGCAATCATTCCAGCAGCCCTAGCGTCAGTATGTCGAGCCAGCAGCAGCTCTGGCTCCAGATATCATATGACGAAGCTGGAAAATATTCTCGCTTCATTCATGACTAGCACTCAGGCAACTGTCACGAGGTTGGACCAGAGCATAGCCTCACTGGAGGCAGGTCAGAGGAACCAAGGTGCCATTTTTCAAGATTTGCAGAACCAGATGGGTGACATGGCTCGCCAAATTAATACCCGAGCCCCGGGAACTCTACCTGCCACTACCATTCCCAATCCACGGGAGCTGCACCAGCAGCTGGATGCCATTTTTACAAGGAGCGGTAAGACCATATCCGCTGATCCTGTCCCAGCCAGGCAGGAGGAACCACTACCTACTTCAGCACTTCCAGCCGACGATGTAGAAGTGCGGGTGGAGAAGGAAGCCCATGCTCCCAAGCACAACCAGTGGTTAAGGAGCATGTACCCTAGCTTCCCTTCCCCACTCGCCTACACAAAGACAAGCTGGAGACTGAGTTTGCCAAGTTTATGGCAATGTTGAAGCAGCTCAACATTAGCATACCGTTTGTGGAGGCACTGTCGAAGATGCCCAAGTACACAAAGTTCATGAAAGATCTCCTCACCAACAAGAAGAAACTTGGGGATCTCTCGACAGTGTTGCTGAGCGAGGAGTGTTCTGCTATCTTGCAGAACAAGCTGCTCGAAAAGCGCAAGGACCCAGGGAGTTTTACTATCCCTCTTACTATTGGCAGCATGCATGTAGGCAAGTCCTTGGTGGACCTAGGCGCTAGCATAAATGTCATGCCATATAAGTTGTATAAAAAGCTAGACCTAGGTGAACTTAGCCCTACTAGGATGAGCATTCAGCTAGCTGATCGTTCCATTGTGCATCCTAGGGGGATCATAGAGGATCTGCTTGTTAATGTAGGTGCATTCACATATCCTGTTGATTTTGTTATTCTTGATATACATGAGGATGTGGATGTGCCTTTGATTATGGGTAGACCATTTCTTGCCACCGCCAAGGCACTTATTGATGTGCATGATGGTAAACTGATCCTGCATGCTGGGAATGAACAGGCTACTTTTTCTGTGACTGAATTCGATCACTGTGCTATGATTGCTGTCACACCTGTGCATGCCATTTCTGATTAGGTACACGAGCCTGTCGTGTATCCTACTGCACCTCTCATTTTGCAGGACTCTCTTATCATTCCTTCGCCGCCACTACATCCAGTCTCGCCTCTGAACAAAAAGATCAAGGAGGAGTGGCGGCCGAAGCAGCAGGTTGCTAAGCCTGCACGGAAGAAGGGTGGAGACCACTGCGAGCTGGTTCCACCCCCTGCACCACGACCACCCTGGCCATCCGAGTACTCACTCGCCTGCATCTTGCCGGATGGCCAGGTCGAGCTGACCAATGCTGGTGGCTGCACCCGTCGGGTGCATGGCCACAACCTGAAGCTGTACCTCAAGAGCGACGTGGATCCGCTCTTGGAGGCACCTGTTCCTGCACCTCCCTGAGTATCCACCATGGGCGTCTAGCTAAAAGACGGTAAAGAAGCGCTTGTGGGGAGGCAACCCCACCACGGTTTGCATTTCTACCCTTTGTTTTTTTTCATTTTTGTCAGTTTTTGAGTCTTTGAGTCTGTCTGGAGTCTGTCTGGAAAGTATTTCGTGCCTCGGGCGGTTCATTTTAATGTGTGATTGGGTAAATTTTAGAGTCGGGGCACGAATGAGTCTTGGTGGTTTGAAATTGGAATTTTGAAAAAATGCAGATTGGGCTCGGCACTAAAAGCACGGGCGCCAGGGGAGGAAAACACGGCCGGGTTTTCCCTCCTGCCCGCCCGTGTTTTAGACTTTGGCCAGCATTGCTCGCGGCAGTAAAAACACGGGCGCTGGGCTTCCAAAACACGATCGTGTTTTGGTTCCTGCCCGCCCGTGTTTTCAAAGGGGGGAAACACGGCCGCGGCAGTAAAAACACGGGCGCGGAGCACGCCGAACACGGCCGTGTTCCACCCCGCCCGTGTTTTGCCTCCCCCCTATAAAAGTCGATTTTCAGCCCCCCTCCCACCAGATTCATTTTCTTTTCAAATTCCAACCGCCTCTCTCGTCGGAAACTCGGATTTTCCCTCTCCCCCTTCGATTTTCCGGCCATAACTCCCTCTCCCGACCTCCAAATCAAAAACCTCAACCCCCCCCCCCCCACGCTTCTGGAGTCGAGGAGCACAATCCCAAAAGGTTTGGGCTTGTTTGGCCGAGGTTGGGTCGCCGGCGGCGAGTTCTCCGGCGAGTCTCCGGTGTGTTTTCCGGCGACTTGGGGTGTTTTCTTCCACTCTCTTCACCTCTCTCGCGGTATCTACTTGCGTCTCCAGGTGTGTTCTCATTGCCTTTTCTTTTATATATGGAGAATCGATACCTAGAGTTAGGTGAAGAACTTGTGATTGTGGCATGTTTTGAGAATGATTGGGTAGGCAGATGACGCTCTTTGCTTGTTCTATTTTTGCCTCGGGATTTCAGTTATTCGGCCTACCATTTGCATGTTGGCATTGTATGCGGGCTTGTGTGGTTTTTGTGTGGTGGATCGATTGGTGCTTATTTGGTATGGCTTTGGTATGCTTGTTTCACCGGGGGCCTAATCCACTGTCCGAATTGCTCGATTTCAGGGTCCCCGGTGTGTTTTGTTATGTGATTCTCGTGTGATGGGTATGCTTGTTTCGCCGGGAGTCTAGTCCATTGTCCATATCTTTCGATATGAGGGCTCCCGGTGTGGTTTTGGCCTAACATTGACCCTGTTCGCTTGTGTACCATTTGTACTTCCTTGTGCTTTGCAGGATCATGGAAGACTACCTCGACCAGTTGAGCATCACCCAACGCCATCTGCTGCGGACCATCCATAACCGCACCATCGCCGAGCACCTGCACCTCGAATTTTGCGGTGTTCGAGGCGCTTCATGCCAGGGCGCAGATGGAGGCCGTTGTTCGCCCCTATGGTTGGCGGCGCCTTCTCTGCCTCGCCGAGCCGACCTACCAGGAGCTCGTCTGGGAGTTCTACGCTTCCTTCAGCCATGCCTCGAAGGGGTCCGCCGACCATGCTGATGCGGTTCGTTTTACACTCGGCAGGGTGGAGCACTCCGTCAGTTACTGGGAGTTAGCCTCTGCACTTCGGCTCAACTCCACGCACTCTAGTGACCGACTCTTGCACTTGGACATCTCTGACCCCACGGACTTTGCTTCCCAGGCGTACTTCCAGCGAATTTGCCTGCCGAACCATGCGGATGAGCAGTACACTGCTAGCCAGACGCGGGCCACTCTCCTCCGTCCGGAGTGGCGGATCCTCAACCATCTGCTCACCCAGTCCTACACCCCCAGCCGCGGCTCGTCCAACCGGGTCACACTCAGGACACTATTCTTCATGCATGCGATGAGTCGTCCTGAGGACACCATCGAGCTGGGCTCTGTGCTCGCCCGGACGTTCGGCAAAGCCTCCGCCAGCCAGGATCACGACCTTGTCTGTGGCCCGGTGATCACCGCCTTGGCCCGCTACTATGGGGTCGACCTCACTGGGATGACCATGGTCCGAGGACCAACCCCGCTCAGCGAGGCCACCCTCCGCCACCAGCACTTGGTTGCTCGCCACGGGCGTGTGCACTGGATTGCGGGCCTTCCTCAGCCACCTTTACCTGCAGAGGGCGACCAGCCAGAGTCGAGCGCAGCTGGGGGACGCCGGGTTCCCCGTCGTATTGTTCGTCGCGGCCAGGCTCCTTCGAGCCCCTCCGCTGCTCCCCGGTCTCCTGCTCCCAGGCCATCGCTCAGCAGAACGAGCGCATCTTGGCCGGCCAGGAGCGCATTCACACCCGCCTCGATTGTGAGCGGGACCGAGGGCGTCGTCTTATGTCAGGCCATCACTGCATCATGTCCTACCTGGGATTGGACCCGAACGCAGTCCACTACCCGTTCGTGCAGTCCCCGGGGTATGAGGACGAGTACCCTCCACCCACCGGCGATGGTGGTGATGCATTCTAGTGGCGAGTGGCTGGTTCTGTGCCTCATTTGTGTTCGAGACTGAGACTCCATGTTTTTGTTGTTTCGTTTTGTTTTTTTGTCTTGGATTGTAGACTTGGAACTCCGGTTCTTTCACCCAGTGTGTGTCTTTTGTTGATTTTAGCTCTGTGCCTTGGACTGGTTCCCCTTTCAGTCCCCTGCTCTTGACTGGTCTGCCTTCCAGTCCCCGTTCCTGATCTCACTTCCCAACATCGTTCCCCTTCCCTCTGCTCCATTGAGGACACTGTCGCATTTAAGTGTGGGGGGTTCTTTGTATTAATTGGAACGTATATGTGTGCTTGGAGCCTAGTCCGCTGTCCAAATCTCGAGATTTGAGGGCTCCAAGCATTGTTGTTTGCTTAATGTTTGATCGTATTGGCACTGTGGATGTGATTAGTGAATTGAATGGCTTTTGACTTGATGCATGACAACTTATTATGATGACTGAGATGTGCAGTAAGAACTGTGTAGGGGTTTAGTTTTCAACTGTTTGCTTACCAAATGTGACTTGGATTGATCACTTGTTTTTGGCAGTCATTTATGCATCTAGTTCAGGGAATCAGAATGAGAGATAGAGCATATAGGTAGCCATGTGAGGTTTGAGCCTGCTCGTTTCTTTCTTGTGTGATAGTTCCCTCTTCCATGATATGCAGCATTCACGTTGTCATTAGCTAGGATGATGGAGGCATAGGATTAGCCCACGACCAAATTGACTGTCCTAGTGTGTCATATCCCCTAGTCAGCCCCTTTGAGCCGTGTGTTACCCTTTCTTTCGGTCTGCAATGAAAAATCACCCTTTTGCTTCTCTTAGAAGGTTCCATAGAGTGGTTTTTACTTTTTCTCTGCTGTTTCTGCTAAATATAAAGTGAGAGTTGTAGGTAGTTCTTAAAAAGTTGGGCAGGTGTTTGAAAACTGTGCAGAGGTGGTGGTTCTCTTAAGAGATGGAAAAAAATGAATGAAAGAAAAACAAAGAAAAAATGAAAGCAAAAGAGAGCCACCACTAAAAATCTAAATAGTGCCCACTACGTAGTGTTTCTTAGCAGTCTGGCTTAGAAATACTAGCATTTATGTGACCTCCTTCGCTCTTGTGCTCTGAAGAATTTGAGTAATGCAGAATAGTAGAAAGAAAGTTATTGGTTTGATTGATTGTGAGTTTGTTGGGTTTGGAAATGTGGAACCTTGTGCTATGAATACTTCCACCACCTAAAAGGCCTTTTCCCCATGTCCAAGACCCTAGCCAGTCATCTGAACCTGTGTCTAAGACCTCCGGATTAGTTAGTGGTGACACCCCATATGTGAACTCTAGCATTTAGAGGCTGCATTCATGGTGAAGAGATGTTAGGGATTGAGAGAATAAGCATGCACATTTTTCGCATCAAATTGTCCTGACCCCACTGGTCGAGAGTGAGCGATTCATTTTCTCATATTCTCTATACTCTTTATCCCGGTGAGGACCTAGATTGCTCTGTCTTAATTCTGATATCTTGAGCTTTGTGCATGAAGTGACTGTTTTGAATAAGTGGTTGAGTCAAGTCTATGTTGGTTGGTGAACAGAAGGGAACTCTTCCTTTGCTCGACTTTATTTCATTCGAATGTCATCTGTGGTGGTTGTCTAGGTTGTCGTTGAGGTTGTCCATGTGTTAATGATCGAAAGCCAATATGATCCACGTGTTTTGTGCCAATATGATATGCCCTAAAGCATGCTTGATTGAAACGTTTTGAGCTTACCTTGTGTCTGACTTGGTTTGCTTGGGGACAAGCAAACGGTTAAGTGTGGGGGAATTTGATAACGATGTAATTGCACATATTTGCACCCCTAGTTCTTATCCTTTTGAGGGGGCATAGTCATGTATTTTTGGCCTATTTTACGCCGGGTTGTGCTCCTTTGTCATATTTCAGGTCCCAGACGTCGAAGGAAAGGCTAAGCACGAGTTTTGGGGCATTCGGAAGTCATTCGGTCGAGCTGGAGCCAAAACACGGGCACGCCTAAATCAAAGCACGGCCGTGTTCCTGGACCGTGATTTTACTGCCGAGGCTTGATCCAAGACTGTCAAACACTAGCTCAAAACACGGGCGGGACTGTCCCAGAACACGGACGTGTCCATCATCAAGCACGCCCGTGTTTTCCCAAAGTAGCGGCCGTGTTTTTAACACATGGCCAGGGCACGGGCGGGCTGGAGCAAAGCACGGCCGTGCCCTCGACCGTGTTTTGCCTAGTGATGCCCTTTTAGGCAGATTTCAGCCAAAAGAGAAGGGGATTCGAGTTTTAGAGAGACAGAGCGATTCCTAGAGAGAGAAAGCGACAAACAAGAGTTCCCAAGTGCCCTAGCTTGATCTTCATCACCATTGGAGCCTGGCTTGAGCTTGGAGGAGTGCCGATCGACGCCCAAGAGCAGAAATCCATCCTTCACAGTATGGTTTCCGCATCTGAATCTGCTTTTGCTTCTTTCTCCATGGAGTAGTTCTCCCATTCATCTGGGTATGGGAAACCCTAGATCTGTATGTTAGGTTTGATTGTATGAACCCAATTGCAGATTCTATGATTTGATTATATTCAATTGAGGTTTGAATGATTGAATGGCATGGATCCTGATCAAATTCCTGTTGTTTCTGATTTAACCTAGAAAGAGAATATCTGCCTAGGTTGATAGAGCACCCTTAATTGAAGGTAGTGAATTGGCGACTTTATTCGAGGAGCCAATTCACTATTCTGTACCGAATTTACTTCGGTAGTGAAGTATTTGTTGTTAGGGCCTCAGTCTGTTAACTCCGGTGGAGGTTAGTCAACCGCTAGAGATTCAGACTGAGAGGGTCTGGAGACCTTTAGTCGAGACTTCGGACTGTTTAAGAATCTTCCGCAGTATAACTATCATAGAAATTGAACTTGGTAAATTGCAATCCGGCTTAACTGCAGTCTAGGGGGAACCATATCCGGGTGACCTCTCTCGACTTGAAACAACCGTTTAACTTGCTTTGTGTCTTTGTTTGTTTGAACCTGCACTTAAGTTTTACCGCTAGATAATAAGAATTCACTGAGCAGTCATCATATCTATGACCCGGGTTGACATTAAAACCCAAACCCGTTATACAGCGCTTTAGGAAGTGGTTTCACTTGGCCATTTTCTAGAGTGACAGTAGGAGTGAGTCAGCTAGCTCGCCACAACTAGGGTGAATACCAATCTGATAAGAGTCGCTCTAGCACTCTGGAGATTCTCGACAGAGTAATTTGGGCAAATTCCGCGTAGGGAACTCGGCAATAGCCTCTGAAATTCAATAATAATCGTCTAAGGGAAAACCAACTTGTTCAGCCCATTAAATTGGCAAAGTACAACCCAAATCCAACTCCAACATGGAAAAAAATCATAAACCGACTTTAAAACATGAAAACTCGGAAATAGCCCAGCAAACCCGTTAAGCCCAAACCGTTAAGCCTTGACCCGTTAAGCCCAAAACGTTAAGCTTGGACCCGTTAAGCCTAAAACTTTAAGCCTGGACCCGTTAAGTAAACCCGTTAAGGCTGGACCCGTTAAGGCTGCTTCTTGCAATCTCCCTTCTCTTCAGCACTTCTTCCTTCTTCCTCCACTCGAATCATCATATATAGCTTCCCTCGAAATAGGTCCACGTCCATGGCTCCAAAGTAGCTTTCCAAATATGTCGCAAGCTTCTCCTTCAACGTCCTTTCCTTAGCACGTGTGACTGGCCCATTGATGTCCTCATCAGCCCCTCCTTCTTCAAAAGGATTTGCCCTCAAATTCGAATTGCCATCCAAATAAGGTGCAAGGTCAGAAATATTAAACGTTGCACTTACTCCATACTCTCCCGACAAGTCGATCTTGTAGGCGTTGCTTCCAATCTTCGAAACAACCTGGAAAGAACCATCACATCGGGGCATCAACTTTGATTTCCTCTGCTGGGGAAACCTCTCCTTCCTCAAATGCACCCACACCCAGTCGCCAACTTCAAAGTGCCTCGGTTTCCTATTTTTGTTCACATTGCGCATGATCTGCTTCGTCCTTCTCTCAATGTTCAATCTCGCCTTCTCATGTAAACTCTTCACGAACTCGGATTTCTTGGCTCCATCGATATTGACCTGCTCATTCAAAGGTAATGGCATCAAATCCAAAGGAGTGAGTGGATTGAAACCATACACGAGCTCAAACAGAGTGAACTTCATCGTCGAGTGCACCATCCTGTTGTAAGCAAACTCCACGTGGGGAAGGCAGTCCTCCCAAACCTTGATGTTGCTCCTGATCACAGCTCGCAGCATTTGGGACAGAGTTCGATTGACAACCTCTGTTTGCCCATCGGTTTGAGGATGACATGTGGTAGAGAACAGCAGCTTTGTCCCCAGTTTGCTCCACAACGTCTTCCAAAAGGAACTCAGAAACTTAGTATCTCGATCGAATACTATAGAACGTGGCATCCCATGTAATCACGCCACTTCCCTGAAAAACAAATCAGGCACGTTAATAGCATCATTCGTCTTATGACACGGAATAAAGTGTGCCATCTTCGAGAATAGATCCACCACCACAAAAATCGAATCTCTTCCCTTCCTTGTCTGCGGAAAACCATGCACAAAATCCATAGAGATGTCGATCCATGGAGCATATGGAATCGGCACTGGTGTGTACAATCCAGATGATTGCACCTTCGACTTGGCTTGCTTGCATTCCACACACCTCGCAGACAGATTCTCCACGTCTCCCTTCATGTGTGGCCAATAGAAGTGCTCTTGTAGACAACTCAGCGTCTTGTCTAAACTAAAATGTGCCATTAAGCCTCCTCCATGAGCCTCTTTCAACAGCAACTCTTGAAGTGATGACCGAGGAATACACAACTGGTTAGCTCGAAACAAGTAGCCATCACTTTGATAGAACTTCCCATCGCCATGCTGCTCACAAGCTCTATAGATCTCCCCAAAGTCAACATCATCAGAATAGAGCTCCTTGATATACTCGAAACCCAAATACTTCACCATCATTGTCGTGATCAACGAATGCCTTCAAGATAGGGCATTAAGAACTATGTTCTCTTTTCCCTGCTTGTACTTGATCACGTATGGAAAGGACCTCAATGAACTCAACCCATCGAGCATGTCTCTTGTTCATCTTGTGTTGAGCTTTCAAATACTTCAACGACCCATCGAGCCGCGTCTCTAAGGCTCTAACTAGAGCATAAAGCTCCTTGTCGTACGTCGGATAGTTGAGGGAAGCCCCACTCACCATCATTGTTGTGATCAACGAATGCCTTCAAGATAGGGCATTAAGAACTATGTTCTCTTTTCCCTGCTTGTACTTGATCACGTATGGAAAGGACCTCAATGAACTCAACCCATCGAGCATGTCTCTTGTTCATCTTGTGTTGAGCTTTCAAATACTTCAACGACCCATCGAGCCGCGTCTCTAAGGCTCTAACTAGAGCATAAAGCTCCTTGTCGTACGTCGGATAGTTGAGGGAAGCCCCACTCAACTTCTCGCTGAAGTAAGCAATCGACTTCTTCTCCTGCATCAACACTGCTCCAATTCCCAAACCAGAAGCATCACACTCCACCTCGAATGTCTTATTGAAATCTAGCAACATCAGGACATGTGCGTGTGTGAGCTTGTGCTTGAGCAGCTCGAATGCTCTGGTCTGCTCCTCTCCCCAATAGAACGTCACGTTCTTCTTGATGATGGATGTCAATGGTGCGGCAATGGTGCTGAAATTGGCACAAATCGACGATAGAACCCAGCAAGCCCATGAAAGCTCCACACCTCATTCACGTTGGTTGGAATAGGCCAATCGCGAATTGCTTTCAATTTCTCTTCATCCACCTTGACACCATCTCCACTCACCACAAACCCAAGGAAAATAACACTAGAAGTGCAAAACGAGCACTTCTTGAGGTTAGCATACAATTTCTCCTTTTTCAACATCGCGAACACCTCTCTCAAGTGATTTAGATGATCCTCCATGCACTTCGAGTAGATCATAATGTCGTCGAAGTATACGACCACGAACTTGTCAATGAATGGCCCCAAAACATGGTTCATCAGCCTCATGAACGTGCTAGGAGCATTGATTAAACCAAAGGGCATCACCATCCATTCGTATAGACCCTGCTTGGTCTTAAACGCAGTCTTCCACTCGTCTCCCTCCTTCATACGAATTTGGTGGTAACCTGATCTCAAATCAATCTTGGAAAACACCGTAGAGCCATGTAATTCATCAAGCATATCATCTAATCGTGTAATTGGATGACGATACTTAACTGTAATTTTATTGATGGCTCGGAAGTCCACACACATCCGCCACGTGTGATCCTTCTTTGGCACGAGAATCACCAGAACTGCACACGGGCTCAAACTTTCTCGAACATGCCCCTTCTCCATGAGCTCGTCAATCTGCCTTAGCAGCTCTTTGGTCTCTTCCGGATTAGCTCGATATGCTTCCTTGTTTGGAATTTGAGATCCCGACACGAAATCAATCTGGTGCTCAATCCCGCGAATAGGAGGCAGCCCCTTTGGTGCTTCCTCTGGAAACACATCTTCGAACTCATCCAACACCACTCTTGCTTCGGCTGGAACTTCTTGGACTAGCTCTTGATTGAGAAGCACGTCCTTGTACATGAGCACAATCAAAGGTTCTCGTGCATAGGCAGCTTGCTTCAAATCTCCACTGCGTGCTAGCATCAATGCCTTCGAATCCACCATTCCAGCTCCTTCTTCTCATTTCTTGGCCGAGGCATTACTTGCCTTTTCTTGCTCTCGACGTTGCTGCATTTGGATTTAATCTTGATATACTTCACTTGGAGACAGAGGCTTCAACACGAAGTTCTGTCCTCCATGTTGCAACTTGTACTTATTTGTCACTCCATCATGCTGTGCTTGTCGATCAAACTGTCATGGCCTGCCAAAAAGCACATGCGCAGCTTGCATAGACACTATATCACACAAAATCTCATCTTTGTAATCTCCAATCTCGAACTTCATTAGTGCCTGCTTTGTGACTTTGATGGATCCGTGATTGTTAAGCCATTGCAGCGTGTATGGCTTTGGATGCTTCACCACACACGTGCTCACAACGTTCGTGCAACTTCCTCCATCGATCACTAGAGACAACACCTTTCCATCAACTACACATCTCGTATGGAAGATATTTTCTCGCTGTTCACTCTCCTCGTTAGGCTGCGCAGTCAATACTCTCTGTGCTACAAACAAGCTGCCTGGGGGTGGTTCCATTTCCATAGACTCATCGGCATCAAAATCGGTGGTCTCTCCCTCTTCATGGGATACATACTCGCCATTATCAAGTAAGATCAGGGTCTTCTTATTAGCACACTGGCTCGCAATGTGTCCTCTTCCATGGCATTTGAAACAACAAATTTCTCTCGACGATCCACTTTGCTTTATAACTAGATTTGCACAATCAGCCCTTGCCGCGGGTGTAGGAGCTTCTTTCATAGGCAGTTGCGGCTTAGGGTTGGTTGCAACTCCTTGGCTCAAACGTGTGGAATTCGTGGTGGGTTGAAACCTCCTATTTCGAAGCTGCCATTCCACTTTACTTGCCATATCCACCAAATCTTCAAGTTCAAGGAACGGTTGTATCTCCACCACGTTCTTGATCTCTTGACTGAGACCATACAGAAAACGAGCTATGGTATCCTCGCGGTCCTCTCTCACATAAGCACGTATCATCAATACTTCCAACTCCTTGTGATAATCTTTAACGCTTTTAGTTCCTTGTCGTAGAAGCTGGAGGTTTTGATACATATCTCACAAATGGGAAGTCGGTACAAACCGATCCCTCATAATTCCTTTCATCTCATCCCACGTCTCAATAGGACGCTGCCTGTTTCTCCTTCATCTCGTTCCCAAATCATTCCACCAAACAAGTGCATAATCCGAGAACTCTAGGGCAACCAATGCCGCTTTCTTCTTCTCGGAGTAGTTATGACAATCAAACACAAGTTCCATCTTTCTCTCCCAATCCAAATAAGCATCAGAGTTCGTGGTACCGCGAAAAGGTGGAATCGTGACCTTGAGGTTTCTCAAATCATCATCCTCCTCAAAGCCCTCTTCTTTCTCGTCATTAAACTCCCCTTCATGATGTTGTTGCCGCCCTCTCCTTTCAGCTCGAGGCATTCCAAGGCATCAATGTTGGCGCATATGATGTTGTAATTCATGAACCAAGGGTGGAGGAGTTTGGTTTTCCCTTCCCCTTTCTTCTTGTCAAGGTCTAGGGTTAGGGTTTGCGTTGACCACAATCGGCTGCTGGAACCTTGTCTCGACAACCTCCATCCTCGTGGCTTGCTCGGCAAGCCTTGCTATTTGCTCTTCTTGAGCACGAGCAATGTTCTCTAATTGATTTGCGATGGAAGAAAACTCTAAGAACACAAGAACTCACACAACCTGCTTCTTCCCTCGCAAGAAACACCAAGAACTCCCAAGAACAAACAACCTCATGTCTTGCGGCTCAAGAACACGCCAAGACCTTCAAGAACTTGCACCAAACCACCAAGAACACGAACAAGAACGCACAAGATAGTCAAAAAAACTTCAAGAACACGCCACTGATTTGAACCAGGCTCTGATACCACTTGATATAATCAAAGTAGCGCAGGGTCAAGCTTCTCGAACCAAACAGAACCGGATAGGATGGAAATCGATCGAACAGTACTCACCCGTGAATAAGGGCAATCAATATATGAATCGATCGTACAGATTTAACTCGGAATAAAGGGCAATCGATATGGGTAGCTCGCCACAACTAGGGTGAATACCTAGCTGATAAGAGTCACTCTAGCACTCTGGAGATTCTCGATAGAGTAATTAGGGCAAATTCTGTGTAGGGAACTCGACAATAGCCTCTAAAATTCAATAATAATCGTCTAAGGGCAAACCAACGTGTTCAGCCCTTTAAATAGGCAAAGTACAACCCAAAATCCGACTCCAGCATGGAAAAACAATCATAAACCGACTTTAAAACATGAAAACTCGGAAATAGCCCAGCAAACCCGTTAAGCCCAAACTGTTAAGCCTGGACCCGTTAAGTAAACCTGTTAAGGGTGGACCCGTTAAGCAAACCCGTTAAGGCTACTTCTTGCAATCTGCCATCTCTTCAGCACTTCCTCCTTCTTCGTCCACTCGAATCATCATATATGGCTTCCCTCGAAATAGCTCCACGTCCATGGCTCCAAAGTAGCTCTCCAAATATGTAGCAAGCTTCTCCTTCAACATCCTTGCCTTAGCACGTGTGACTGCCCATTGATGTCCTCATCATAATTAGATATAGATGCGGGCGGGAGTGAGTGAGTTTCCTAGATTCGATGGTAGGAATGTTGATGCATCAACATGAAGGACGGTGCCAAAGAAGAATAAGGAAAAGAAGCGCACTCGACAGATCGCACATCAGTCAGAGGCAGATGTAGATGTAGGGTTATAGGAGTTAGAGGCTTCTACTGTAGTTTTTCCTACGAGTTCACGGGCGAATGGTTCCCATGGGAGGAACAAGGGCGTTGCATCGAGGTAGGTCTCAGATCAGTTTGATGATCACTACAATCCTGATGAGTACAATCACTACAAAAAGAGAAAGTTTGGGGACGCCAAAAGTTGTCCCCCAATGTTCCGTCCCTTATACGCTTGTCCTATATTGTTTTAAGGACGACAAAATTTAGGTCCTCCTTTGTAGTAGGGACAATAGTCATCCTTGATATTCAGGAGTTGTTGTCTCGTTTTCCCCCGATGTAAGAAAAAATGTCGTCCCTATAATCATTACTTTGGAGACACTAAATTGTCCCCTAAAAATTTTTTCTAAGTAAAAAATATGTCCCCTAGCATGTCTGTGTTGTGTATATTTGGGGTCAACATGTCGTCCCAATATGTATCAAATTGAAGTCAACAAATCATCCCCTAAAGTTTTAGCATTTGAGGATGACAATTGGTCCTTTATACTATATCTTTGGAGAAAACTAATTGTCTCCTATATCATTTTTAGGAACGAGTAATAGTCTCTAAACATGTGTATTTGGAGATACAGATTTAGAAACTTATAGGGACAATTAGTTATCCCTATGCATTTGACGTGTGGAGAACTAATCTTTGATAAGTTTTTTATTTAAAGATGGTGGCAATTACTCAACTCTTATCCCATTCCTTGAGTAAAAAATGTACCTTAATAAAATACAACATGGACTATGCGTACAAACAATGAAAAAAGCTAATTGGACTTAGAAAGACAGCAAAATCGAAATGACGGCCACTAATCTTGCCAGACCTTCGCTATCATCGCTTCACTCGCCCCGTGCATTCTTTATTCCTCTGTGGAGCCTAATCATCCGTCACCAATGGCTAGTCCAGGAGAGAAACAAAACAAGAGAGTGTGAAGCTCAACAAATGGCAAATCAAACAAAATCTAAACAACATATTCACCCACTTGCAAAACAAAACTCATAATATATTAACCTAGATCCAAAAAACCCTTGGAAGAAACAAATTGAATCCTTACCGGCTAATACAAAAGTTAAGGGAAGCTAATAACGATACCATATGGGTAAGACGAGCACCACCAACTTGGAGTGCGGAGAAGAGAAGCAAATAAGAAGCGGCTATAACTAAACAAGGGAGAGACTAGATAAGGGTTGTTCGGCGCTATTGAAAGAAACATAAGAAGGAATGAGGCGGCCAATCGGCCGAGTGAAAGTAAATATAAAATAGAGGTAGGGTTTGGTAATTTATATTTGAATGGACGGTGGGGATCAATTAGTTTAAGAAAGTAAATGGAAGATTGAGATGAGATGGAAATTTCTGCAACAAGGACTTAAACCTTTCTCTTGGTCAAGGTGAGGGTAAACGTTTGACAAACCGAAATTTATGCTCAATAAAAATAAAATTTGAACTACCATTTTTATTTTAGGCACCCTTTCCATTTTTTTTTCTTTCCTTTGATTTATTTTGATCTTCTCCCTTGTGTGCCGTCACATTCCCATATTACTACCAAACACTTTATAATAATAATTAGCTCATTGTAACTTATAAGTTATAACCCCACTTTATAATAATTATCAAATGATGACCTCTTCTACTCTATTTATGTAGACGATAAGTTATCACTTATATAACTTTTAGGGACGGATGATACCACTAAACTTGTGTCTTGAGAATGATGACTTGTCGCCTACATAACTTTTAGGGATGTCATGTTGTCCTTTAACTTGCGTGTTTGAAGACAAGGAATCGTCCTCTATATTAGGGGTGGGCAATATGTGGAGTTGAGTGAATTTTGGTATCAAATGACATATTCGGTTATTAGCGAGTTGATATAATTATGATGTTGTATCTATCCATGTTCTTCTTTGGGTAGGGGGCGGATGGATAGTAATGTTGGGTTGTGGCCTTGTAGGGTGACCCGGGACAACAAGTCTCCAACTAGCTAGTAACAAAGTTCACTACCATTTACAATAAGTTCCTTGTAAATTAGTAAGACTAGCAAATGAGACACATTCCACTTTGCAGACTTTGAATCCTTGTATTATTTACATCAAATTTTCATTACCCATCAGCAAATAGTGTAGAGAAAACTTATGCATTTTGCTACTTTGATACAATAGATAGCATTGTTATAAGAACCGAATTGGATCAACGGTCGGGTTAGTAGAACCACCAAACTAGTTACAATAGCTGTCCAGTTTGTTGCTTGGACGGTTATTGATGGACCAAAGGGTTTTTCACTGTTCAACATAAAATCAGATGAACCACCACGGTTTAACTGGTCCAGTGGTTCACTATTTCAATAAAAAAATAATTTAACATAAACTAAGACCAACAAAGCATAATTATTAATTTTATATATGCTTCCTCTTATCATTCCAACCTTGTTGTCGGCTTTACGTTGTCCACTACCGACTGGCACCGTAGTTTTTAATTTGGATTAAAAAATATGTTTTTTGTGAGATGGTTTGAATGATTTATTAGATAATTCGGCGATGATATGAATTTGAAATTGTTTATGGTCGATGATAGCTCAATTCTTAAATTAGTGTAATATACAAGTCTATATGTTATATATCATGAACGGTTCTATGAACGGTTCACCAACGATTTTGTAACAGTTAACCACTGAACTCTAAACCACTAATTTTTCCGGTTCAATCTCCGGTCTAGTTCTAAAAATATAGATAGATAGTTTATAATTTGTATTTCAATATATGGTAGAGACTGCAAAACATTGTAATCATTTATAATTTGTATATCAATATTTACACAAACAAGAAATTCCCAAAAATCTCGAACCCAACTTCAACTTGTGCGCCCATCTTCCGGGGGAAATTTAAACACGTTCGCCTGTTAATCTCTTTTAGAATTAATTTAAAGAATTTAAAGAACCAATATTATTCTTCTCTGTAACTGAAAATTGAACGCAATCTTATATTTTCTCCCAACTACTTTTATTTTGGTAGAAACCAACTACTTTTTTTGGGAACAACTAACAGAAGCTTTAATTACTTAAAATTTGATAGCTAACTTTACGGGGACAACTTTAAAAGCTTGTCCCTTATATTACTTAGATTTATATTTCCGGAGACAAACTTTATAAGTCGTCCCTCTACACTTGTCCCTAATGCTTCCCAATTTTGTAGTGAATTGGGCGTCAAGGGCACTTGCTTGGTTGTATAGATAGCATGGTCAAGCGTCTCGAGCTTCTGCTAGGGGGTGGCTAGTTGTGTCACACTTTCTGCGGTGTTGGATCTACAAGTACTTTTCGAGTTTCAAGTCATCTCACTTCGAGCCAGCCCTCGTTGGACCTGATCAGCCTTGGTCTTCACGATGGATTGGGCAGCCGACACCAGGTTCTGTGGCTGATCCCAGTATGAGGTTGGCGTTCTACTGTCGAGTTTTTGACAGCTTGACCCCTTCTGATGTGTGTTGGATACCTTTCCATCAGAGGCCCATCAGGCACTGCGTTGCTCTTTGTACACTAGAGTGATCCGGTTCATGATATAGGCGAGTTTTACGATCCTGCTCGTTGCTTCCGACAATTTGGATACCGATAGATGGTACCGCATGCCCTCTATTAGCTCCGGTTACACGACTTGTCACTCCTACTATGACCCATGTGTTTGGACCATACTCTTCCCATACTTAATAAATATATGAAATTGGCAACAAGTACCATTCAAACTAGTATTCCCACGCCTCTCCTTCGTAGGGTCTGGTTTATAAGACTTCTTGATCGTACTATTTCTGTCGCAAAAAATACAGAGGGCAGTAACAGGATGTTGTGCTTCAGTATTTCGTTTTCATGCTCCTCTAATAATAAAGAGCGCATAAGATTGAACGATTGCTTTTGCAACATTTTCAACTAACTCCACACTTGCATAATAGATACATTTCTCAAATTCATGTGAGTAATCATATTCGGCCAGCAACCACTGACATTTTTCCTACAATTATAATATACCACATCACTAATTTAAACTCTTAAACGCTAAATCAACTCCTAAACTCTAAATTCAACTCTTAAATGCTAAATTCTACTCCTAAACTCTAAATTCAACTCTTAAATGCTAAATTCACCTCTTAAACGCTAAATTCAATTTTTAAATTCTAAATTCAACTCCTAAAATCTAAATTTGCCGAAAATTTCCAATGAAAGACGGCGGGCCAAAAGATTCTGACGGTCGAACATGGCCGGGTCGAAAGAATTCGGCGGCCGAAACTAGGCCTGACCGAAGGAAAATGGTGGTCGGAACTAGGACAAGCCGAAAAACTCCTTCTGCTAAGCCTGGCTCTGGCCACCATTTTCCGTCGGCACGGCCTGGTTCCAGCCGTCGGATTCTTTTGGCCCATCTAGGTTCCGGTCGCCGAATTCTTTCGGCCCGACCAGGTTCCGGCCGCCGGAATCTTTTGGCCCGCAGTCTGTCCATTAGAAATCATCAGAAAAATTGTTCAAAACTCCAAAAATTGGTGCACCTACTTAGTGATGTTTCATGGATGCATGTCCACAGTTTACGTCGAGGTTCGACTTTTCCGTTTATTTCCTGGCAAGTTTTCCGGCAAGCGTCGACTTTTTCTGATTCAATACGTTTTCTGAGAGTTGGATATGTTGTAGGAGGCGAAACTTCTCTACCGAAGACGTATATATAATCAATTTTGAATTATTACTTTTTCTTTTGGTTGGTGGCAAATAGCAATTTGGTTGGCGACAAATAGCATAGCGCTACTTTGCAATCAAGGTGGTATGAGTATTCGTCCGACGAATATGAACGTGCTAGAGAAGGAGTTGGCATCCTAACCAACACTAAGGAAAGTTTTTTTGTTTGATGAAGTTTTAGTCGTGTTGCTGAAGTTATGTGTAAAGGTTTTGTTGTCAACATTAAGGTTTAATTTACTATGTGAATTTAGAAATGAGGGTTTTATAATTTAAAAACCCAAAATTTTATTAAGGATTTGTGACATTATGGATTTGTTAGAAACCTTTATTTGTTGAGATGTTTTGATCATGGATTTAACGGTCTGGAATTTAGAACTTAAATATTTAATTTACTTTATTATCCATTTATGTTAGACTAGTTTTTTGGCCCGCGCTTCGCAGCGGGAAGTAACTAATTTTATTTAAAATTTTATTCACTTATTTGATAATTTAGGTGAAATCAAATAATTCACAAAATCTTCACGTTAGATTTAAAAGCTTATTTACTTATTTGATAATTTAGATGAAATCAAATAATTCACAAAATCTTCAAGTTAGATACTAAACTTAAGTTTTAGGTACTGTCTTAAGTAAATTCTTATGAAAGACTTATATAATATGTTTGTTTAAATGATATATAAGAAGTAACTATCTCCCCATAAGTTTTACGTATAGCCTTAATCATCACGAATGACTTAGTAAAATGTTTGTTTAACTATTACATAAGAAATAACTAAATCTGTATAAGTTTTACATAGTGGCTTAATGATTAAGGAATACTTACATAATAAGTTTGTTTAATTGATACATAAGACATAAATATTCCTCCTTGAGTTACTTAATCCATTTTTAATTCGCATAACTGTTATCGAACGTTGTTACAAAAATCTTCAGTAATGAGTGGTCTCATTATAAAATTAAGTTATCGAAAGTATCACATTTTATTAAACTGTTATGTAAAAGTTAATTGACCTTAGAAAACTATTTGTGTAATTCAAATTGATAACATGAAGAAAATTTTATTAATAATGAATGATTTTTAGTTAATAAAAAGAAATAAGTAATCGAAAGTATCATATTTGATTAACATATTTTATAAAAATAACTTAACTTACATAACTTTACTTAATGTAAATTCATGAGATGGTCGACCATTTACTTAATAATAAAAAATTTCTCTCAAAGCTATATTATGAAAGACTTACATGTTAGATCTATTTAACTGAGCCATAAGAAATACTTATACATCCTTAATTTTATTTTAATTTTATTTGTAATTTACATAATTGCGATAGAACATTGTTACATAATCATATGTAATGTGAGGCTAATAATAACATCAAGTTATCAAAAGTATCATTATGTAAAAGTTTACTGACTTTACATAATCTTTGTGTAATGCAATTGATGATATGGAGAATATTTTAGTCAATATAAAAATTAAGTTATTATTATCTAAAAAAATTAAGTTATGGAAAGTAGATTAAAAGTTATGTAAAAAAATTACCTTATAAAACTCTTGTGTAATGCAAATTGATGACATGGTCAACAATTAAGATACACGGTCACGAGACACCTCATCATCATCTGAGTCTGACTCTGTGTCTTAATCATCATCACATTCAAGAGGGTCGGAGCTGTCTGCACTGACATTGCTTTCTTCCTCTTCATCGGAAGGGTCACTAACTGGTGCTGGCAGGTCATCTTCCATCTCATCCAGATCATGAAAGCCACATTCATCAGCACCGTAATGTTAGTTGTGGAAACTATCATCGTCTGAATGGAAGTTGTAATCAGATTGGTATTGGTAGCCTTCTTGTTGGTTGTCATGGTAGGGATGATCTTCATATAATCCACCTCCATACCAGATGATTGGCCATCTCCATAATGACCTTTATCGCCTTCAACCACCTCAGTGTAAACGAACATCTATGCTTTCAAAAGATTATCGGCGTTCAAAAATTTGACCATGACATCTACTTCATCCTGAGTGGTTATGAGGAATTCCTCATGCCACAACGATCCACCTTGTCTGTTTGGATATCGATACATCATACAATCAACTCTTCTCGTGTCATCCATGCAAGTAACCTCACTACACATTTGATAGAGCTCTTCAAGCATCAGTCTCGTAGCGACCTTCATTTTATGAAAATTACCACCGACGTAACGTACCCCCTTTCCGATCTCTTCCGTGTAACCATTCTACTGTAACCCAAGCGTGAACTTTTAGAATGCCATCTGCAATAAAACAGTAATTTAGTTAATACCATGAAAATTACAAAGCACAATAAAAAGCAATACAAAATAAACTTACGAAGTAACGTTAATCGCAAAAACTTTAAAAAAGTAGGGTGCACAACAGACAATTGAAAAGGAATAAGGAGAGGGGTGAAGATCCAGGTTTCCGGGTCTTCCTTTTATAGGAAAAATGATAACTGAAAACCACAGGGGGAGCGGGCAGTTTTCATCTGCCATGCAGCCCCACGTTTTCAAGCCTCAGGATGGCGACATGGCGGGGAATGGGGACGACACATAAACCGCGCAGAGGGGTGCGGTTTGTGTGTCGGCAAGGCAAACCACTTGTTGAAGGAGTGGTTTCGATTGAAGACCTAGAACCGCTCCCTCAATAGGCGGTTTAGGTTAGCCACTAAACCGCCTATCCCAGTGGCGATTTCTGCACAGAATTTTAACCGTCTCCTCAACATGCGGTTCTTCCACAAACTGCCTCCCCTAGTGACGGTTTTTGAAGAATGGTGCTATATTTGGAATTTGTGTGGGTTGGGAGCCATTTTTGTAATTTTTTTAAATAATGCTATTTTTTGGAAAAAAAATCCAAAAAGTAGACAATTTCTGAGAGCCGAACAAGGCTGAAAAGTGGAAGACTTGATCAACCTGCTCCCAACTAAAATCACACACCACATCCACTCTACAATAATCAACCAAGTGAAGAGGATTTATTTACACTTTAAATAATTTGGCATGAATGCGGCGTCGTTGACCAATACCACGATGGTGGCATTGTCGCGAGATCAGCGGCGTTGCAAGTTTAACAATGCCGCAAGTACGTTATGAGTTTGACAACATTGGAGAGCTAAACGATGTTGCGAATTCCACAACGCCACAGGTACAACGACTCCGTGAGCAATGTTGTGAGTTTGTCAAAGTTGTGAGCTCAACGACATCGCGGTAGGTAACGACATCGTAGAGCTCAACGATGTCGCAAGGTTGTTGATGTTGGGCAATGTGGCAAGCCCGACAATGTCGTGGAGTCAAAACAATGATGTTATTTAATTAACAACATTTTCGCGGGTCTTGCAACGCCTAAAATTAATGTGGTTTCTCAAATCCATGACAATATTGTAGCCACGAGACAATGATGTTGCGGTTTGAACCGCGATAGCGATCCTAGGTTCAGTTACTTTAGTGTGCACGTGTGTCTCAAGTGGATAGAAGTTGAGATTGGAGATGCAATGTCGTTGAAGACTACAACGTTGAAGCGAAGGTGGTTTCATTCACGCCAACCAGAGTGAAGAGGAGAACAAGGCGGTTGAGACACGTGGAAATTCAAGATGGAGCAGTTGCGAAGACAGTTTCACGGATGATTTTTCGTGAAGGCTACTCAGATTATTGCAGATAAAATCATCGGAGCAAGGAGAGAAAAAGAAAAAAACAAAATCAACACAGAAGACAACATTGTCGAATCTATCTTTTCTCTGTAACTCCCTTCACGGAGCTTTTCTTTCAGGAAGGATATCCATAGCCGCAGTCATAGCGTAGTCGCGGAGCTCTCCACACGAATCTCCATAGGAGTAGATCTCACGTATATTCCCTTAAAGCTCACGTATGTTCCCTTAAAAACTCAAACACCCTCATTCGAACATTGTTTGGAGAGGTGTGAACTGAGTAACAATCGTCTTGGTTTTCAAAAGTTAGAGGTGCATCGATCAAATCAACACCGGCGGTGGATATTTGACGATCGTCTTGGTTTTCAGAAGTTAGAGGTGCAACGATCAAATCAACATCGCCCGAAAGTGGATATATGACGGTCGTCTTGATTTCAGCATTCAGTGATGCGTCCGATCAAATGGCACCGCAAGAATTTCCACAGCGAAATAATCAAATCAACATCGCCCGAAACAAATTCGGCATCGACGGTGGTGTTTGGTTTCGTGAGAAACATGATCAGCACGTTTGGAAACTTTCAACAAATGGTGAATTTAAGGCCAGTTCAGCTTATCGAGTTCTATCTCGCACGAAACTACTCCACAATTTAATCCTGACTAGAGCCCAAGTTTTAAAACTCTAGTCGGGTGCAGTATAGAGCAAGTATTTGAATTGTCAACCCGGGCCGATCCATGTACCCCTACTTCAATCGCTTAGGTTGTTATCTAGCAAACAACTTTAGGGTTTTCAAACTAAGAAAACTACAAACTAAACTACAAGGAAAAGTAAATAAAGGAAAATCCTAACTAAGGGAGCTTCACCCAGGATTACAAATTTGAGTTCAAGATCTTCTTCTTCTTCTTCTAGGCTTGAATCTTCCACCCAAACGTCCAATGATGCTCCAATATCACTCTAGCACTCTCTCTCTCTCTCACTAGAATTCCCCTTTGGTGTTTTAGGTTGAAACCCTAGAGAAAGAAAGTGTTTCTTCTCCAAAAACCAGCTCTCTTTTCTCTCTCCCCCCTGTTGTCTTTATATTTGCCCGAAAGCGATAAGTTCACGGACGCGTTGGCCAGTTCATGACTGTGAACACCTAAACGCATCCGCAAATTCAACGTCGTCCAAAACGCACCGCTTGACTGTCCTGGGTTCAAGGTCAACGGCCCCAGTTCACGGTCTTAGAGACCGTGAACTGCCTTGTCGTCAGTAACTTCAGGACCCCGCTGGACGCCTCGGTGTTCACGCTTTGTGGTCGAAGTTCACGGTCTTAGGAGACCGTGAACTGCTTCGTCCGGCCGTGAGTTGCGGCTGTTTCTTGGACACCTTCACTTCACTACAACGGGGCAATTGTCACGGTCTACGGACTTTTCTTCGGTTTTTGCGCTTCTTGACCTCCAAATATCCCAAAACTCGTCCTCGACCCTTCCACACATGCTAGGACCTGAAATGTATCAAAACAAGCACAACCTAGCGTAAAATATGTTCAGGAACGATGAAATGCTAAGCTAAACGAATAAGAAATGATGGGTAAAATGTGTACATTTGGGCTCGAATCAAGTTCTCGCCTCACAACAATTGCTGAACGTCGACCTAGTTTGGCGTAAGATCTGGATGCTGCACGTTCCTGAAAGAGTTAGGGGGGTTCATTTGGATGGTGGCCAAAGGAAGACTATCCACGAACAGTGTGAGGAAGTATTGACACATGACGCATGATAACAAATATGCAGTCTGCCAAGAAGACCCGGAAACAAACCTTCATCGTCAGCGCGATTGTCGGTTTGCTAAATGATCTGGGAGAAGGTCATTCCTATTAGAAATCTCCCTGGGTTTATCATCGGAAGAGACAATTTATCTGCGGAGAACTTGGAAGATCAGCGTGAAGATAGCTGGGGGAGCTACTTCACCTTGCTACTCTGCTTTATTTTGAAGTGGGGTGGTGGGAATTATAATATAAAGTGTTATGTCCTTCAACGTAGTGCAATTATGTTACTGCTAAGAACTTGGGAATCCGCTACAAGAACTATCTACAGGCGATTAGAGATGAGTGATTCGCAATCATGCAAGAGATTGGAGGCATCCAGTTCCTCATTGTTGACTATTGAGTCTGATTGCGTTTCAGCTATCGATTTTATTAACAAGCAAGATGACTCAGGTCCATCCTCATGCTACCATCATCAGGGAAATTCGTCAACAACTAGCTCAAAATTGGGTTGTTGAACTGGTTTACACGTATCACAAAAGAATAGAGTCACAAACTGATTGTCGAAGTATATTCTCATTTATCCCTTTACTACGTATGAGCTAAAAGATTCGTCGCGAAACTAGTGAAGATTATCATAGAAGGCACCATGGGAGTGAGCTTCCCTCACTTGGTGGCGTAAATTTGAGCTGTTTCTTCATGGTCTGCTTTGTGGGCGAGGCTATGTTTTTGTTTCCCCCTTGTGTTTGTAAGGGTGGCTTTTGGGGGGAAATCCTTGAAGAGTGGGGGGAAATCCTTGAAGAGAGTAAACAAGCCGCAGAAATAGCATGGGCATATAACGGAGGATCAGTTAAGCACATAAGAATTGCGATTCTCGTACAGTAGTAACTAAGCTCTGAATGCACGCGCTACTTGTTTGCTGCTCCGATCAAAATATCAGTCAATCAGTTGTTTCCTTGTAGCAGAAACCTTCAACTTGTCAAACACTAAGTACTTAGAGCATATCATACCAGAAGTCTCAACACAGACTTGAAAACGGCCTGTGTTGGAATAGTTAGCTAGTTTCTGGAATTTGCACTACTGGCAATGAAGGTGGCGTCGTCGCTAATGGTGGCGTCACTGCTGGTAGTGGAAGTAGTGGTATTAATGACCGGCGGTGCAGCGGTGTGAGTGGCAATGGTGGGCAGTTTAGGTGGTTGTGGGTAAGTTTGAGGGCGTGGTTTAGCTCCCCTGTGCAAATGCCTCTCGCAATACTTGTGGCTGGGGAGCACATGGCGGCGGCAGCGCCACTTCTTCCCATCCGTTCTCCTGCACCTCCCTGCCCCTGCCTCTGCCTCTGCCTCGTCGATGACTCCATGGAAGCACCGCTCAACTGCACCAAAAAGAAAGTCGGAGTTAGTGAAGGCAGAGCAGTATGACTATGAGCATTGAGCGAGCAGAGAAACCTACCTGAAAGGACACTCTTTGGGGAGAAATCTAGGCCATGAGGCTGAAGCACATTGTTGTTGTTGCCAGGAGGAGCAGCGGCGGGCGTGGGGCACAAATCCGTGGTTAGAGTAGCTGGAAGGGCGCTGCTTCTTTTAAGGGCATCCGTAGCGGCGTTCTGGGTTAGGGTTGGGGCGGGGAAGAGGGCATTTTTGGAGGAGGAAGGATGGAGGTCCGCTGAAGTCTGAGCTGGTCTCTCTCTCTCAAGGGCAATGGCAGCGGGTTCCACAGGCTTTCTTGAACGGAGGCGGCCTCTGTGCATATGGCGGTGGCAGTATTTCTGGCCAGCAACCACACTCATCCCGCACCTCCACTTCTTCCCATCTGTTCTCCTGCACCTCCATGCATCTGATTCCATCACTCCCAATTCTTCAACAACAACAAACGAACGAAACAGAGACCGAGTCACTCTCACTCTCACTCACAAGAAGAAAAATATCAACTGGAGCTGCGTTAACTTAAACAAAACACACATAGAGCGAGTCACAACAAGAAAAATAGGTTCCTCTGTTTGTTTGATCACAAAGATACATGCAGGCAAGAAAAGAAGACTCAAGAGAATAGAAGAGCAGCGGAGGCGCCAATCTCGAGACGCAGATTCATCAAACGGTGTGAGAATGGTGCTCTGCTCTGGTCTTTGTCTCCTTTCTTCCTTCACTCATTCATCAATTTCACTCTCATCATCTTCTTCCTCTTTCCTCCTCGTCGCAGAAACAGAGCCCGTGCTCTGCCTCCGGCGGGTCCCACAGCCATTACCCACCAAACAATGAAAACAGCCATGAATTTTAACTTTATTTTTGTAAATCAACAAGGAAGTTGAACAAGGACAGGAGTGATTACCAGAGGACGACGATCGCGTGCGCTTCCATTTGCTTCGAATTCGATCGATGATGAAAGAAAAACACAACACCCAACTGGCCATTGGCCAACCCTTTCCTTTGTCTTCATTTTTTGTTTTTTTATAATGACCCCTTTCCTTTCTTTCTTTGTTTTTTTTTTTTATTTCATTTCCTTTCTTTGTTTGAAACAAGAGGAAGACCAGAACTTGTTCCAAAATAATATTAAAATAATAAGGTTCATGATAAGAGAAGAAAAGTGTATGGCAAAAGCAATGACAGACAGGGTCAGCGGAGGATTCAGTTCAGGCTCCGACCCAGCGCTGCTGCATCATTCATCACTTTCTTTACTCTTTCTCTCTCTAAAAACGGAACGGGTGTCAGAGCCTGAAAGGTTTTGCCTTTGCCTTTGCCTTCTTCTGACACCATCCCTTTTTTCGCGCTACCCTTTACTCACCAAACCTCCGGTCTCCCGACCCGACCCTACCCCAATACTTACTTCCCATTTCCATCGCACCATTTGCATTTGCTTCAAAATGCGTCCACTAGGTAGAAATCCATACGATATTGATAACTCAATATTGAATACCGAAATTCCAAATATGAAATTAAATTCTAAAATCAATATTAGTCTCAATCCCTAAATTATTTAGATATCTCGATCTCAATTCCTAAATATTTTGGTATTTCAATAGCTATTCTGATATCACATTCAGTATTATCGAATATGAAATTAATTAACTTTACAATTAATAGTTAAATATATAAATTAGATTTTATTATTTAATTTAGCGCACAGAGACTAGGCAAAGAGTTGAGTTTGCTTAGAACTAGTACATGGATAAGGGGAATGGAGGAGAGGTGACATATCAAGTTCATGTCATTAGGTATCTCATATCTTAATTCAACGAATTTGAGGTCGATAGACGACTACTATTTTTTTTTTTTGGTGTTATTAAAATAACAAGAGATTAGGTGAGATACGAGAGACTTAAACTTGAAAGCTAAAATTGAGTTGGATGGGGATTTGTGAGTTGTCAAAGAGTGAGAAATGTCAAAGGCTATTTACTATATTTCATTAATTTTCAATTTTCCTTGTTTCTCTATATTTAAGTATATACCGATTCCAATCCCGAATAGCACTCCACAATGAATCCCAATCCACGTCCCTAAAAAATAACTCGATATTCGGTAATACCAAATACAGATAAGTTTGGCAGCGTATTCGGTATATCCAGTGGCGGACCCATAAATTTTACATAGCGGTGTCCTCTTTTTAAAAATAAATTAAATAAAAATAAAAATTAAATCATTCTTAACTAACAAAGTACTTGACTTGTACAAGTTAAAAAAAAGTCCAGCGATGTGTTTCATATTCGCAAATAATTATAGAATACACTTGGTGTCTACACTGCTAAAAACAATTATCTCTACATATCCTACTAGACAATCATTCACGAACTAATACCATATTCGAATTTTAAACTTGTTCTTGATGTAACCAAAACTGAAAAGACTATTTTAGCACTTGTCATGCAACCATAAAATCAATACAAATTAATTGTAGCTTGAAAGTTTACTTGTTAAGTTTTGAAAATAATTAGAGATAGATAATGACATTTTACTATTACACAGTGTTTAAAATCAAACAACAAATTAGTGTAAATTATGTTTATTAATAATACTAGTGTCTTAGATTTTAATTATCCAAACTACCACTTATATTCACATATGCAAACTAAAAAATGAAAGTAGGATAATCATTTTTCTCAAATTTCAGGGGTGTCTCCAACTATCAATTGTAATTTTTTCCATCGATACGTAAATTACTACCGGAGGTGTATAATCATTTCCACAAAATTTAGGAATGTCCCAGGACAACCCAAATACCTCTGGGTCTGATCTTGGGTATAACTCACATACCGGTACCAAACTTCTAGCCCTAATCCCCACCACCCACCACACATTGTCTCTCTTCTCTTCTTTTTTTTTTTTTCCGGGTAAAAGACGGTTTCTCACGGCGGCCTAGCTTGTATTAATGACTGAACATATTTAGCGGCTTCTGATAGTGAAGTCATCAACAAGACCGTGAAGTATGTTAATGAAACGATGCTTTTTGCGTTGAATTCACGGTTTCATTGCATACTTCACAGATTTGAGTATAACAGTGATATTATCACTCGCAGGCTATATAAAATATAGTGCGCTGAAATTGAAAGTGAGTGTTATGGAGAGAGATTTGAGGGTTCTTCTTCAAGTTTGGAGAGAGAAAGCTACGAGCAAGTAAGAGAAGAAGCTTAAATTGACATATCCAAGGCAATTGGTGGGCAGCTATCTCCCCCAAGGGTCCATTCAAGCAACTAGGAAAAGGAAGAATAACTTTCCCACGAGTTTTCCCTCTATTTTCAGTTGTTATATTCTAACTATGAAATAGTCCTCCTTTTCACTTGGATGATAGGAACCCTAGTTCAAAATGTTGTAGTTTGTGGTAAATGAACTCTATTGCGAATGACTATTGTGATTTATATATTTAATATGGTATTTTTATGCAAATTGGGTGTTATTGATCAAAATTTTCAATTTTGGAGCAATTGACCCAGGAGGGAGAAAATCCCCTTCGTGCAATTCGGGACGCCCCTCAATCATCGTAGAGTGTCATAAATAGTTGTGATTGGTAACTCTAGGTTGTTCCAAGTTAATATTGAGGGATTACAATTGGTTGTCGTAGTCCTCTTTTGCGACTATGAGGTACGTCCATCCAATTTTATCGATTAAGCGGGCTAAGATGCACTCGAATAGGGGGTCGTAGCTACTTTAGCGCTCCTAACAACATATTAAGCTTATCTATCACATTGGAGTATCACAATAGCATCTCAACATGGGACTAGGAGGAATATCGTCTAAGTGAATTTTTCTCGATTGAATGCAACATTGTTTTAATTGCTTGTTTATTTTGTTTATTGGCTTCAACAACAATTTGGCTGCTAGATAACTTGTAGACGTCTGAAGTAAGGGTATATAGATCGCTCGGGTTGATATTTGAAATATTTAATTTATGCTACACCCGCTTATAGGTTACAATTGGCCTATGATCGGGATTGAATTGTAGAGGTAGCAAGCCAATATCAATTCGGTTTGTATTGTTTATCATTCTAGTTTGTCATTTTTGTCTATTATGTTTGTGATGTTTATATGACTAATTTATCTATATTGTAATTTGTAATATTCGTTTACAAGGTGAAGCTAAGCTGTCTCTAGTACAAGTAAAAATTCCACCCGTTGGGCGGTTTGCCTACTCGAGGATGTGTTTTTAAGGGCACAGATAAAGCTTCCGATCCCCCTTAATTTCATTGACACTCCACACGAGTTGGGAAAAAGGAGTTAAAAGAAGTACTCTGGCGAGTGACATGTTTACATAAATTGCTCTTGCTCGATCAATAAGGGTTGACTGCGCATAAAACTGCAGTTTGGAACCCCATCAAAGTGTGAATAAAAAACAAAAGAAAACAAAACAAAAGTATGAAAAGGGGTTCCAACGAATGAAATGGAATGGAAGAGCACCTGATACGAAGAGTCCTTGGCAGTTAAATTTGTGAGTCTCTTTATCCATGAATTGGTTTTCCTAGTTCCATTGCTTCTCATGATCCTGGCCTGAGTCTAGTACCGGCCTTGAGAGAGATAGGGGACATCTTAGAAGACCAGTTGACCACGTAAGTTGCTAATTGATCTAGAAAATCCTCAACCGACGATCGGGGTTGCATGTTACTATAAAGATATGGAGAGCTGCATTGGTGTGAGTTAGGTTTGCTTGGGGACAAGCAAACGGTTAAGTGTGGGGGAATTTGATAATGCCATATTCGAACATGTTTTTCCCGTCAATTCTTGACCGTTTGAGCTTGTTTTATCGCTCTCGTGCCCTATTTTACGCTAGGTTGTGTTCGTTGATGATGTTTTAGGTCCTAGCATGTGAATGGGCACGAAGGATCAAAGTTCATGACATTTTGGAGAGAAACGGGCAGCAACAAGCTGAGAGTTACGGCCAGACCTTGCAATTACGATCTGGCCCGTAACTCCTCATGGTGGCCTATAACCTTATAGTGGAGCAGACAGAGTTCCAGCAAGCTTCTGGAAGTTACGGCTAGACCCTTCAAGTTACGTTCTGGGCTGTAACTCTCCCTTCTTGCCCGTAACTCCGAGGTGGTGAAGCCAAGTGATCAGAAGCATATTTGAAGTTACGACCTTCCCCCTCGAGTTATGGTCAAGGCCGTAACTTCACCAAAGGAGTCGTAACTCTTGGTTTACGGAGTGCCACAACGACGTCATTTCGGGGATGTTACAGGTATGCGAGCAAGGTTACGGCTGTAACTTAGGCCATAACTCGCGGATTCTCAGCCTATTTAAAGTCTGCTCGGGAAATTTGCAAAGGATCTGGATTTTTGGACTTCCTAAGGCATAAAAAGAACTACAGAGAGAGAGAGAGAGAGAGAGAGAGAGAGAGAGACAAAGCAATACCCATGGGCATGGATTGGAGCGATCTGAAGACCTCAGAGCTAGATTCCCCAACCTCCGAGTACCGATTAGCCGCCAGGAGCAATTGTCCATTGTCGTTCTGATGATGTCTACTCCAAGCAAGACGTTCTCACATCTCTCCATGGAGTAATTTTCCATTTCATCTGGGTATGAAGAACCCTAGATGTGTATGTTAGGAATGATTGTATGAACCCCATGTTATGAATGATTGATATGATAAATTCAGTTGAGAAATTATTTAGAGTTGCATGAGTCCTGATCAAACCTGTGTAATTCCGACTTTAACCTAGAACGATAGTCTCTGCATAGGTTTAAAGAGCAATCTTTAATTGAGGTGAATCGACTGCTTTAGTCGAGAATTCGATTCACTGCTTCGTACTGGAACAAAGGCAGTAGTGGAGGTTTCAGGTGTTTAACCTTGGTTAGTTTATGTCATTGGAGGTTAGTCGCCCGCCGGGTTTTCGAACCAAAAGGGTCTGGATAACTATAGTTGAGAGTCCAGACCAATAACGAACTTTCCGCGGTTTATCTATCAATCTGATTAATTTGGGATCGTATAACCTGAACTAGCTGCACACTAGGGGGAACCATATCCGGATACCATTTGAACCTGAAAAGAACCAGACCATAACTTGCTTTTGTTTCTTTTGCACTAAAATCACTACACTTTCTTAGTCCATCTAGATAATAGGAGTTCACCGAGTAGGCAGTAGATCTAGAGCCCGGGTCGATAGTTAGACTTAACCACTATTATGCATTTCCACTATGCTATTATACTTGCTCACAGTTTGGTGTTGTGTCGTAGCGTGTCAAGTTTTTGGCGTCGTTGCCGGGGAC